GTTTATTTTTATTAGTTGGAGGCTAATTACTTTACAATATTGTAGTGGTTTTTGTCATACATTGACATGAATTAGCCATGGATTTACATGTATTCCCCATCCTGATCCCCCCTCCCACCTACCTCTCCACCCTATTCCTCTGGGTCTTCCCAGTGCATCAGGCCCAAGCACTTGTTTCATGCATCCAACCTGGGCTGGTGACCTGTTTCACCATAGATAATATACATGTTTCAATGCTGTTCTCTCGAGACATCGCATCCTCGCCTTCTCCCACAGAGTCCAAAATTCTGTTCTGTACATCTGTGTCTCTTTTTCTGGTTTGCATATAGGGTTATCATTACCATCTTTCTAAATTCCATATATATGCGTTAGTATGCTGTATTGGTCTTTATCTTTCTGGCTTACTTCACTCTGTATAATGGGCTCCAGTTTCATCCATCTCATTAGAACTGATTCAAATGAATTCTTTTTAATGGCTGAGTAATATTCCATGGTGTATATGTACCACAGCTTCCTTATCCATTCATCTGCTAATGGGCATCTAGGTTGCTTCCATGTCCTGGCTATTATAAATAGTGCTGCAATGAACATTGGGGTGCACGAGATGACACCACTCTTATGGCAGAAAGTGAAAAGGAGCTAAAGGGCTTCTTGATGAAAGTGAAAGAGGAGAAAAAGCTGGATTAAAACTCAGCATTCAAAAAACTAAGGTCATGGCATCCAGTCCTGTCACTTAATGGCAGATAGATGGGGAAATAGTGACAGACTTTATTTTCTTGGGCTCCAAAATCACTGTGGATGGTGACTGCAGCCATGAAATTAAAAGATGCTTGCTTCTTGGAAGAAAAGCTATGACAAGCCTAGATAGTATATTAAAAAGCAGAGAAATTACTTTGCCGACAAAGGTCCTTATAGTCAAATCTATGGTTTTTCCAGTGGTCATGTATGGATGTGGGAGTTGCACCATAAAGAAAGTTGAGTGCTGAACAATTGATGCTTTTGAACTGTGGTGTTGGAAAAGACTCTTGAGAGTCCCTTGGACTGCAAGGAGATCAAACCAGTCAATACTAAAGGAAATCAGTCCTGAATATTCATTGGAAGGATTGATGCTGAAGCTGAAGCGCCAATACTTTGGCCACCTGATGTGAAGAGCTGACTCATTTGAAAAGACCCTGGTGCTGGGAAAGATTGACAATAGGAAGAGAAGGGGACGACATAGGATGAGATATTTGGATGGTATCATCAACTTAATGGACATGAGTTTGAGAAAGCTCTGAGTGCTGGTGATGGACAAGGAAGCCTGGTGTGCTACAGTCCAAGGGGTTGCAAAGAGTTGGACACAACAGAGCAACTGAACTGAACTGAACCCACTTCAGTATTCTTACCTGGGAAAGGGACAGAGGAGCCTGGCGGGCTACAGTCTATGGGGCCACAAAAGAGTCAGACATGACTTAGCACCTCAGTGTCACCAGTAGCAACACCCTGCCTCAAGCCTCACAGTCAGCCTTGGCTGAACCCAGAACTGTGCCTCCAGCAGGTCTCCAGGCTACCTCTGACACAGCACCCAGGGTAGACGGTGCACTTGGGGGGCTTGACACCTGAGGAACCCCACCACACAGCATCACCAATCAGGAGTTGCCTCAGAATCCTGAAGTCATGGCTCCATGTCACACACAGACCTTGGCTACCAGGCCTACCTTCTGACGATCCTGCTCACACACCCACCCTCGCTCTGTCCACTGTCAGCAGCGGTCTTCTCCCTGCTAATATCAGCTGTGACCGTGAGCTGAGAAAAGTCATGCCCAGAGGTGGCACAGGCATCCCACAGCAGTGGCACACACTAGCCCTGCTCCAGAAATCAGGGGTTGGATGAGGGGAGGTGGTCCCAGACAATGACAGGACAGTTCATCCCAGCACGTGAGGGATGACTGAAGCACAGGACATAAAGAAGAGAAGGAGGAGGAGGAAGTGGAGGGGCAGGAGGGGTTGTGGGCCAGGGTATCCATCCTGCTTCTGAGGCTCCTGCGTGCCCATGTTCCAACACACCCCTTTCTGCCTTTCATCCCAGCTCAACCCCTTGAAGGCTTACCTCAGCCTTGACCATCCCTGTGAGCCCCTCCCCACCCAGGGTCAAGTTGTCTTGCGACCCTTAGTAATTTCCCTGAGGATTTGGGGGGTGTCGAGAGGGGGGTCCCTGAGACACATCCACCCTGCTCCCAGCTTGAGGGCTCCACCAGCAAAGACAGTAAAAGAAGGCTGCTGTTGTTCCCAATTAAAGACTCTGTGGGCTCCTCCTTCCCACTTTTTCCCTTTGTATTTCTTTTTCTTCTCTTTCACTTTGTAATAAACCATCCACAGTGTCAGCCAAAGACTACACGGACACATTTCTTTGCCGTTCACAAGCCGTGACTTCAGGGAGCTGCACAGAGGCTTGCTGAGGGTGTTGAGGGCTTGGGGGAGAGCTGGGGGAGAGCAAGTTGGTCATACTCTTGCCAAATTCTCTAGTTGTCTGGGTTCAGAATGCCCCCAACCTCACCTGAACTGCATTCAGCCCTGTCCTGGCTCCTGGTGGTAGGGAGCTGGAGGCAGGTGGCATCCTGCCAGAGGTGCCCAGAGCCCTGGTCTGCAGCTGAGTCATTTCCCCAGAGACTTAGCGCCCAGCTCTGTGGAAAGCATGGCGCAGTCCTGTTGGAGGGCCCGGGCCGGCTCCTCCTGGGACACCAGTGACATTCTGCGTGAGATGACCCAGCTGGTACCCCCTCCCTGAAGGGTTCTCCTGAGTGAAGGTCCCTGAGCCAAGCACCAAGCCCTGTCTCTTCTCTCTGAAGAGCGGCTTCCTCCCCAGAAAGGGATATATATGGGTACCTGGCGGCCCCAGGGAGGGTGTGGATTGTTTGTAGGGCAGAGAGAAGCCACTGAGTTGGGCCAGAAGGAGCCAGACTTTTGAGACCCCTTCGGGGCCTCGGCCGGGAAGGTGGTTGGAGCAGGGCTGAAGCAGTGGGGTAGCTGGGGAGGGTAGCACTGAGGTGCATTCGGGAGGTGCCCACAGGAGGTGCTGGTAAAGTGAGCTGTAGGGCTTGGGGAAAGGGAGGACACTGATTGTTTGCCTGATTAAGTAGAGGAGCAAGACTGCTACTCAGTGACACAGGAGGAACCGTAGGGAAGCTGCCATTTGGGCGGTATGGGGGACGAGGATTCAGTTTTGAATGTGTGAAGTTTGGGGTCCAGTCCCAAGGGACAGCAGGGTAACTACCCTCTTGAAGCTCACACCTGGGGGAGATAGAGGATCCCAGAGCAGGGATTGTGTGTGTAGCGCAGCTGATGGGGGACCTGAGTTGCAGGGTCCTGCAAGTACTCACCCGTGTCCACGCCTGAACCCAGGGAAGAACAGGATGACACAGACACTCTCCCAACCTCAGGGTGCTTGAGGTCCTGTCCTTGTCAACCTGGCTTGCAGGTGTGCGCCCCATCCACCTGCCTTCTCACAGTGCTTACTCCTGTCGGGGTACCTCATATCTGGCCGTGTGCTTGCTGCTTCGAGTGTCCCGGCCTTACATACTCCCCAACTCCCAGCTGCCCTGCGACACAGCAAGCCCCTTCTCCACATGAAGGATCACCTCTCAGCAGGAAACAGGCCCTTCTGCTGTGGCCCACCAGAGCCTGAGTGTCCCTGCCTGGAGATAACTGCCCTTCCCCCAGCAGGACGGGGACTCCTGGGTGCAGAGGGACTGAAGCATGGGCTTCATGAGCCCCAGGCCCCTGGCACAGGTCCCCGCTCCCAAGGCCCCCTGGAAAATGCTGATCTCAGTAAGGGAGTGTGGGGAGGATTCGTTGCTCCTAGAATTGGCAGTCTTGTCTTTGGTGTGGTCCCAATCTGCCACCTGAGGGGTGCTCTGTGCTTGAAGGGCCTCAGAAGCCTTATTTAGGCAGAGCAGGTCCTCCGTGGCAAAGGGAAGGTGCCACGATAGAGAAACATTCGAAGCCTGTTCTTCCCTGACGCTTGCACATAGAGTAGCTGCACAGGCCCCTCAATCCCAGGACGGTTGAGAGCACAGAGGCTGGAGCAGCTGCACTTGATGCTCGGCCAGCCTCTGCTTGGATCCACTGCCCAGGGCACCAGTCACAAGCTGACCACTGGATGGGCAGAGCTGTCCACAGCACCGGCTTCCTGGAGGAGTCCTCTGGCCCTGTCCTCACACCGAGGCTTCCACCTCACCTCCCACCCCTCTCCTACCTGCTGCCTGAGGTACAGATGCTCGGGCTTCTTTGCATGCATCCCCTCTTTAAGGGCCGTCTTTTCCTGGACCTTCATGTGACTGGCTCGCTCCAGCATTCAGAGAGGTCTTCCTGAGCTTCCTCTCCTCCCTCACCCATGTACCTTTTACATCAACGGTGCTTAATCCAAGCTGTAATTTTCTATGTGTTGATTTGTTCACAAGGATCCTCTCATGGTGGCAAAGCAGACTATTTTCAATGCCTGAATCATGCATGCACAAACCAGGTACTCAGTAAATATTTCTGGAATGCACTCATTTTACTGGGTTGATCTGAAGTGACTATGAATTGTAGACAAGAGTACAGGAAGACCTAGTTCCCCCTCTGAGATGTCTGCAGCCTGACTGGGGCTTTCAGCAGCCACACAAAGGTGCCGCATGGGAACTGGGGCAGAATCCCTGCCATTCCCATCCAGCCACATTCACCCCCTCACAGCCACCTTGGAAGGGGCGGGTCATTCTCCCACGTGGGTCAATAAAAAATCCACTGACTTCAGGGCTAATGGGGTTGAGCCATCATGGTGGGAAGTCAAGGCAGTGAGGACAGCAGCCTTGCAAGCTGGGGCTACCATCAGCCCCATTTCAGGGATGAGAACACTGAGCCACATGGGCTTGGGTGAGCTGCTCAAGCACACACTGGCCGCAGAGCCAGGCTCTTGGATCCCAGGGCTTCCGCTTTCACCCCAGCCTGGAGTCTCCCCAGTCCTTACACAGAGCTGCCCATCTTGCACACACGCAGATGTGGTGGGGGCTGGTGGCAGGAGAGCACGGGGAGGCACCGCAGGACCGTGTGGGGTGGTCCTGAGCAGGAGAGGCTGCTGGTGGGATGGGGTCAGCCTGCCTTCTCAGACAGGGAAGAAGGAGGTCAGCTGGTGCTAATCTGGGGTGGGGTCCACTCTCAGTCACTGTTTCAGGAGGGTGGTCCACGATGGGGAGCCCAGAGTTTGCAGCTCTGTGCTTGAATCTTGCCTCCATTTTCACTAGGTGTGTGAACTGGGGAAGAGACAGGGACACCCGTCTCTCTCAGTGGCGCTGTCCTGCCTGGCTGTTACTCTCTGTGCCTCTGTGCCCCTTCTAAGCAGTTGTCCCAGAACAGCTCTTGGCCCTGGAAACAGGCTTTACAGGGCCACCTTCTCTGAGACCAAACCCTCATGGGGATCCTTATGGAATGTTCTTCCCAGCTCTGCTGCCCGAGGCTATGCCAGGCCAACGTCCAGCAGGGAGCTCTGTGGACACCCTAGCCTAGCTCCCCTGCCCAGAAGCACCTCCTGCCTGAATCTCTAGCCCCTTTCAAAGTTCCTTCTGGGAAGTTTCCCAGAAACCTCAGCCCCATGGCTCACCCCTGCTTTGCTTGGCCACACGGACCCTGGCTGCACCCCAGGCTCCGCTCTGGGAGCATCTGTCCCTGACCATCAGTTTCCAGCTATTCTCAGTGCTACTGGGGACCACACCCCCCGCCTCCCCTTGCACCCTCACCCAGGTGCTTTATCTCGGGAAGCTGGATTCCCTCACCTGGTAACACAGAAGCGCAGGTGAGTCTCCTCATCGGTGTGCCCTTCCATCTGCTCTGTGCGTTGCCAAGGAGTGTGCCCACCGTCCCCTGAAGGTTGCTTTCCATTGTCTCCCAGGTACCTCCTCAGTGCAAAGGCGCCCAGGAAGTGAGTGTGCCTGGGCACGCCTCGGCCTTTCTGGGGGACAGATGTGAAGAAAGGGATGAGCGGAATTACAGGGGTCTTAGAGAGACAAGAGGACAGCAAGTTGAGGTAAGAAGCTCTCTGATGGGAGTGGAGTGGTGTGGATTGGGATGCCGCGGTGCCCAAGGTCACGGACAAGACGCGTCCTGTCTTTGGGATGATGCTTGTTCACTTCAAACAGAGGTAGTGAGATCAGGTGTGTGAGCTGCCTGGAATGGAGGAGCCCCTTGTCCTGCAGTTGTGGCACCTGTGGTTGGGGAAAGGCAGGAAGGAATGGGAATGGTGACGACAGGGCAAATCCTTTGCTCAGCCTCCAGGCTCCCATACCCTCTTTTATGCAAAACAGTTCTCCTGGAACCATGGAAGCTCAGGGACCCTCCCAGGGGCTTTGCTGAGTTCCTCACGGGTGTGTCAGCCTCTGCCTGGCTCTGTACTCTTGGCCAGGTGTTCTCCATCTGCGCTCATTGGGAAGTTCTGACATCAAGGTCCACCCTGGCCTCAAGCACTCAGCAGGGTGCACCTGCTTCCTTCTCCTGATGGCCCTTGAGGGNGAACAACAACAATGGGGAACTAAGATCCCATGTGCCTCGTGGCCCAAAAGCCAAAGCAAAACAGAGGTAATATATTATAAGAAATTCAGTTAAGACTTTCAAAATGGTCCACATCAAGAAAACACCTTAAAAATAGTTACCCATAACTGAACATTTCATCTGGACTGTGCAGACAGTACCCGTCTTCACCACGCCTGCAAGGGGAGGGAGGTACTGTTTCAGTGCCCACCCTTCTACCCCGGCTCTGTGATTCATGCCAGGGCTGGGAGTCTGCAAGTTACAGTTCTTCTCTCACAGCTGGCCAAAAAAGGGCCACTAGGGGGAGTGTGGAAGGCAGAAGGGACTTCCTATTTGCTTGCCAGGAACAACAGACGGTTCCAATTTCCAACTTCTTTCCACATTCCCAGCATGGCTGGGTGGTACCCACTTTCCAGCTGTCTACACCCCAGCTCCATGAGGGCCCTCCTCCAAGGTCCTGAGCAGTAGCTGGAGATCACATAGGGCCTTGTGATCAATTGTTACACCAGTGACCCTTGATGGATGATAACCTCTTGAGGTCAGTGCCCTCATGGAGTCCCCTCCACCGTAACTCGGGCTAGGCCAAGTGATCTGCTGTGGTCGGTGGGATGTCAGCTAACAGGAGGATGGATCAGAACTTGTGCTTTGGGGCTCATCTTCTTGGACTGTTGCTGCCACCATCACCAGTTTGTTGTCCCGTTGCTCAGTCGTGTCTGACTCTGCGACCCCCTGGTCTGCAGCACACCAGGCTTCCCTGTCCATCATCAACTCCCGGAGCTTACATGTGTAGCCTCCCCCTTTATGAACATCCACCACCACAGTGGCACAATTATCACAACTGATGTATTTACACGGACACATCATTATCATCTGAAGTTCAGAGTTCACATTTAGGGTTCACTCTGGGTATTTTACATTCTATGGGTTTTGACTAAAGTGTAATGACATGACATATACAGGTCACTAGAGTATCACAGTATTTTCACCATCCTAGATATCCTCTGTGCTCCACCTATTCATCCCCACTTTGTTCTAAACCCTGGCAACCACTGATCTTTAAACTTTTTGTCTTTTAATAACAAAGGAGCGAGCATACCCTTTAACTCCATAATGCAGTCAAGTACTCCTAAAACTGTTGTTCTTCAGTGAAAAACTCAGATATGGACGAGTTTGAGCAAACTCCAGGAGATACTGAAGGACAGGGAAGCCTAGGGTGCTGCAGTCCATGAGGTCACAAAGAGTTGGACAAGGCCGAGCAACTGAACAACAACAAATGACCACATCTGACTTATTTCCTCTTGGACTGCTGAGGGATTAAATGCCACAAACTATGGCAGGGACCTATTCCGAGACTGGGACATGGTAAATGTTTGGTAAATGGAACCGCCACAATGGTAATTTGCTAGCCTGGGGTCTGCCCCTCTGATAAGCTATGAAGTTGACTCAGGCCCCACTTCCTGGGCCTCTGAATGTCCCAGGACAAGCAACAGCAGTGTCACTTGGGAACTTGTTAAAATAAATATCCAGGCCCCACCCCAGATCTGCCATCCAGAATCTCTAAGGTAGGCCCGGCAGCCTATGTTCTAACACATCCACCAGGTGGTTCTGATGCTTAAGTCTGAGAACCTGCCATCCAAGGATAAAGGTCAGATAACTGTAGACTCTGTGGCCAGGGAGATGTGTATTTTCACTGCACCTTTCACTGGACCAAGGTGCTAAAGGGGCTTTAGCACCTTAAGGCAACAAAGAAGAGGGAATTAACATTTGCTGAGCACCTCTGAGGGCTTCACTGGTAGCTCAGATGGTAAAATATCTGCCTGCGATGCATGAGACCAGCCTGGGTTCAATCCCTGGGTCCAGAAGATCCCCTGGAGAAGAAAATGGCAACCCACTCCAATATTCTTGCCTGGAGAATGCCATGGACAGAGGAGCCTGGAGGGCTACAGTCCATGGGGTTGCAAAGAGTCAGGCATGACTGAGCAACTAACACTTTCTTTCCGAGGTTTAACTTCTTTAAATTCCACATAAGGCAGGTCTTTGTCTCCCAAGTTTAAGAAAAGGGCTTAGAAGGGGAGACCGAGATTTTGCAATTCTTTTGCTTCCACTACCAGGAGCCTGAGGGACATCTTCTCACAAGGTCCATGGATCCCAGGAAACAGGCAACCAAAACTTTCAGATGATCTCAAGGCTGCCTCTGCTCCCACACCCCACAAATTCTAGCCATTTAGCTCCATGCTTTCTGCCCTGCTCTGACTGCTCTGAGGATCTGGGAGAAGCAGAGAGAGTTCGGTGTGGGGGGGGAAAGCACAATCTGCCAGGCAACACCAGACAGGTACTGCTGACCAGGAATGGCATTCAAGGGGACCAGAAATTGGGTGAAGGGGCAGGCATGGGCTGGGGCATGCAAAGCCAGTCTGAGCAAGTGCTACGCCTCCATGAGACTCATCCCAGAGGTGGTGGGCTTGGAGCAGGACTGCAGTATGACACCCATGAGCCCTTGGCACTTGTCTTTCTTTGGGCTCTTCCAGCATAAAACTATCTTTTAAAAAATTATTTTTTACAACTGTAAATCCAGATGATGATTCTCAGGTCTTTTCTTTTGATTTGAAAGGAAATTAAAATAAACACATTTGTGTTTGTGCATAGAAATCTTGTGGCCAGCTTGGCTAATGGGAGCATGTCTCCTGGGCGGGCCTCATCTCCTTAAAGCCCACAAAGAAAACATTCAGGACTTCCCCTTGCTGCTTAGCAGAAGACGGCTCTCCTCTACCCGCGGGCGGATTCTCCATTTGCCTCCTACATGCCGGAGCATATATCTAGAAAGGAGGGGAGCCAGAGTGGGTCCTGGACCCAGAATTTGGGTCTAGGGACTCCCGTCCACATTTGCCTTGCCTCTCACTGGGGGCCTGATCGTCTACGTGTTGCTGAGCGTCTCTGGGTTTCAGTTTCTTCAACTGGCAACTGAGAATGCTGAGCAAACGCCCTTTAATTTCTCGAGCTCTTCGACGGAAAAGGCCGCCCTCCCCACGGAAGGGCAGGGACTCCACAGGTGAGTCGCAGGTCGCTGGCGCGCGCGCCGCGTAGAATGCGGATACACGCCTCTGTGTGGTGTTTGTGCAGAAGTTAAACACTCCCAGGCTCCGGGTCTGCCCAACTGGCACCGGGGGGTGAGGAGGGCTGGGGGGGTTGCTCCCTGGGGCGCCGAGCCTTGTCGGCGGACAGCTCCGAAGTGTGTCTGTGGGGCTCGGTCGCGGCAGTGGCCCTGGGGTGCTAGAGCGGCCGGACGCGGGAAGGCGGGGCGTCTGGGCGACCCGGGCGGGGCGAGGGCTGGACGGGGCGGGGCGGGGCGCGGGGCGGCTTTAGGGGAGCCGGGCTCCGCCGCGCGGCTCTCGGTGCTGCGAGCGGGCCACCATGCTCAGCGTCGTGCACTTCCTCCGGAGCTTATTTAAGGTGAGACGCGGCATCCCCCTGGCCACTGCGGGCGCTGGGCGGGGTCTGGCTACGCGCTGAGAGCAGAGCTGGTGCACGCCGCTGCGCCCTGAGCTTACTGCTGGGCACCGGGTGGTTAGGGGCACCCAGGGCCCTCCCTGCCGCCCCCAACTTTCTAAAGTGCCCATCGGGAGAACGGGGCCGCCCGATTCGGGGAAGGAGAGGTGCCCATCAAAGGTAGGTTGGATGGCAGCCCAAGGCCAGCATTGGTGAGGTGGACGCCCAGTGTCCGGCCTCCCTGGCACCTGCTCACCCTCGACACGCAGGGCACAAGTCAGCCTCGGCTCCTCCGAGCAGGACCGCCGGTTCTGGGAAGGACGGCTTGTGCCGGATCCAGTCGTGCCCAGGAAGTCGTTGGTATTTTATTACCCAGGCTGAGGGGACCCGAGGTACCCACGGAATACCAGCGGGGTTGGGGCATCGTTTTGAGAAAGGATGTCTAAGCGGGGATAAGAGAACAGCAACCTGGGGAGTTTTAGACTTCTGCATGAAGGGCCCCTCTACCCAGGCCGGAATCTCCAGACTACTCATTAGTGGGGTTTCTCTGGGGCGCCCTTACCTTCCATGCCCTGATGGGGACCCCATGGTGAGCAGTTGGCTGCAGATTGCCTAGCTCCACCTCCACAGGTGAGAAACCTGGGACCATGGTGGGAGGCAGGATGGGGGTGGATCGGCCTGAAACCAACCGCATAAAAAAGAAGAGGCAAGGAATTGTTACCAGAGTGACAGCCCCTCAGTAGGCAGCCAAACACTGGGGCCTGCCAGAGCATGGGACTGGCCGTGGTGGGAGGAGTTGCTCTACTTGGCTGTGAGACCACTTTCTCCTAGAGTGCAGATGGAAGGGTCCAGGTAAAGTTCTCTGGCTCTGAGAGCCCTGGGGAAAGTGGCGGGAAGCCAAATGACCTAGAGCTGCACCAGCAGGAGCCCTGCCCTCAGCCGGTCTGGAAGAGCAGCCTGCGTATCAGTTCACACCACTGTGTGTGTAATTAATGCATACAACATCAGGAGGGGAGAGGGATGGAGCCTTTCAGCAACTTGTATTAGTGAGTGATGTTCTTTGGTGTTCTTTGAAGAACAGGGGAACGTGGCAGGTGTCAGGGCTATAGCTCTGAACACACATCCCCCTCACCCTCCTTTGCATGCTGATTCTGCTACTGACAAGCTGTACAGTCTTGGTGCAATCACTTAACCATGTTGGTCTTTGTTTTCCTATTTGAAAAGTGTGGACAAGAATCCCACACCTTTCTAGGTGGCTATGAGAATCTTATTACAAACCATACATGTATTTTAGAGCACTGAGCCAAGGACCTTGGTCCTTCTCCACCCATAGCAGTGGTCACAGGCTACCCAGGTGAGGGCAAGTTTGCTGGGCAGAATCAGGAGCACAGGAAACAGGCAAGGGTGACTTGGGAGGAGGTCACTGGACCTCCCAGGGCCTTGCCTGCCTACTGAGTGGAAGCCTCCTAGGAAGCGGGTCCTTTGACTAACTATTGTCATGGGACACACTCTCTTCACATTCCTAGCCTGTCCCCAGCACCCGCTGCCTACCCTAGTGTCCCCAGAGGTCTTAACACATCTCAGACCTCTCTCTGTGCATACCATGGGAATGAGTAGATGTGCCTCTCAAAGGATGTCCCTTTCTGCTGCCCTGCAGAGCCACCCTTGGGAGGAGCCTTGAATGCCATGGTAGATAGTCCACTTCTGGCTGTGCAGGTATATCTTGCAGAACCACCATATAAAGACCATTCACACATGCTTTTCCTTTAGACACTGGTCATAAGGAATGCCCCACTGGGCCACAGGAGTGGGAAGTAGAGGGAACCACCTCCTGACCACTCCTGAGCCTGGGCCTGTACTGACCACTTGGTGATAAGTAACTGACTTGGTTATTTGCCTGATCAAGAATGCTGCTCCATCCTAGGGAACTCAGATCACTGGAGTCCCACAGTCAGACTCTGATAATAGAGACACAGTCTCCACCAAGGTCCAGGAGCAAGAACAATCCATCAAACCCCAGTCCCCAGCTGAAACTTCTGTTGGGATTTGTTCCACTCGAGGCACTGTGGGAACCAACAGGATGTCACAGTCTTGTGACAGAGCCTTACACAGTGCAAGAAGAGCAGAGAACCTGCTCATGGCCTTTGGGATCACCCAGCAAACGAGTTGGAGCAGCAAACCTAAGGAAAAATAAGTTGCTTCAAAAATCCAGACACCTGCCCAGCACTGTGCATCTTTCTTGTGGGTCAGGTGCTGAAGTCCAGCAGCATGTCTTTCACTTTTAAAAGGCTTTCCAAATGTTCCAGACAACTGAATACCTCTGCTGCCTGCCTGGATGATTCACTCTCTGTTTTCATACTATGCATGTGCTCAGTCGTATCCGACTCTTTGCAACCCTATGGAAAATAGCCCACCAGATTCCTCTGTTCTTGGAATTTTCAAGGCAACGATCGATACTAGAGTGGGTTGCCATTTCCTTCTCCAGAGGATTTTCCCGACCCAGGATGTGAATCCCTGTCTTTCAGTCTCCTGCATTGGCAGGCAGATTTTTTTTTTATCACTGTGCCACCTGGGAAGCCTCTCTGTTTTCATTTTTAAATTAATTTTTATTGGAGAATACTTTACAATATTGTGTGTTTCCATTGTACAGCAACAGAGTCAGCTATATGTATACATATATCCTCTCTTTTTTTGGATTTCCCTCCGATTTAGGTCACCACAGAGAACTGAATAGTTCCTCGAGCTATACAGTATGTTCTCATTAGCTAGCTATTTTATACATAGTATCAATAGTATATATCTAAATATGTATATATATGTACATATGTATGTATCAGTTCCAATCTCCCAGTTCTTCCCATCCCTCTTTCACTCCTTGTGTCCATATGCTTGTTCTCTATGTCTGTGTCTCTCTTTCTGCTTTGCAAATAAGATTGTACCATTTTTCTTGATTCCACATATGTGCATTAATATATGATATTTGTTTCTCTCTTTCTGACCTCACTCTGTATGACAGTCTCGTGGACCCTTTGCCCCATGCTCCAGTCCACATCAGGGTACCTTGCTAATTGCTGTTCTACAAGTCATGTCAGTATGGTGGTACCATAGATCGGCATGAGGTCTTTAGGAGTAGGAAGGTCAAAGTCTCTGCTCACTAAATTATGGCTCAGAATCAGCAGGGCCCTGAAGCAGGGTGGTGAAGCTCTGCTGTGCCTCTCATAGGGAAAGTGACTGATTTGTGCTGGTCCCCAGATCAGCAGTTGAGACAAGAAACACATATATATACACACAGGTACACTTTTGGCCAAACCCATGGACAAGGACTGTAAGACATTTATTCCATTTAAGGAGATTGCTTGTGGGTCAGAACAGGAGACTCCAAACAGTTGAGTGTAAAATGGTCCACCGGCGTTTTCAAGGCCCCACGCCTTCTGAACCGGCTGAGCTGGGATGTTGAACAGGGCTGCAGTAGGAATTTCCTCTCCTCCGCTGTGATTTCTTAGTCACCAGAGGTGAAGTATTGCTTTTGATCTCTGTTTTGGAGGGGCAGGGGTGTTCAGAGGCTTCAGTTAGCCTTTCTTCCCGCAGCGTCTCCACATCATGAGTGAAGAAATGGAGTGGGGTTTCCACCAGGGACTGAGCGTGTCTTTGCCAGCTGAGCACTGTGGAGCTGGGAGAATCTCTGGAGGACAGATTCAGGACTCCAGTGGGCTACCATGATGCGGATGCATCGGAAGGCTCCGTTTATGACCTGGCATGCCTTCCGCTTCTCATAGGCCACAGGTTCTTATTAGAACGGAGCCAGTGTTCACTCAACTCTGAAATGTCCAGGTGGGTCTCCGTATGGAGCCTTCAGAAGATCATAGTACTGCTTGCTTAGTATGCTATTGCAGGTAACCAGCCTCCTCCTCACTGAAGGAATTCTGGGTCTGTCGTCTCAAACCTGGGAGTTAGGCAAGGGACAATGGAGTTTAATCAGTAAATATTTATTGAACATCTACTGTCTTCCAGACACTGTATTAGGCACAGTAAGAACTTTTTTTTTTTTTTTGCATTTTCCCCAAAGTATTGTGAATGTGTTCAGTTGTTCAGTCCTGTTTGACTCTTTAGAACCCCAAGGACTGTATGCCACCAGGCTCCTCTGACTTTGGGATTTTCCAGGCAAAAGTACTGGAGTGACTTGCCTTTTCCTACTCCAGGGGATTGTCCCAATGCAGGGATCAAATCCACATCTCCTGCATCTCCTGCATTGGCAGGTGGATTCTTTACCACCTCACCACCTGGGAAGCCCTTTCAGTATTACACGAGCCCAGCAGGACCCCATGGGTATTGCCCATCCATTTCAGTCCTGGTACCCCCCAAGAGCTGTGACATCAGAACATTCATGTTGGCTTCTGGCACTTTAACACTGCTTCTCATCCTCTGTCATCCAATCAGCCACTGCCCCGTCTGCCACCACCAAAGACAGCATTTCTCATCACCATCACCAGGTGATAAAGAATAGCACTTATGGCAGTTTTCCAAGATGTTGACATTCTCCTTGCTAAAGTAGGTCTCTGTGCCTCTGTGTCTTTTGGCTTTATAGGGGACACACTTAGGGGGTTGTGAGCAGATTGCTCTTGGTAAATCCACTCCAACACTCTGTCCCTTAAGATATTTAGACTTCTTCAAGGAATTTCTTCCTTGTCCATTTCAATTTGAGCCAATATCAAACTGAGGTTTTATTCAAGCAGCAGGTCACCTGCTGGAGCACACCTTGGGCCCTGGAGCCAGCTTGCTGCCTCCAAAACGAGCGCCTGCACCCATGTGAACATTATTCCTGACCCACAGAGCTGCTCTTCCCTCCGTGGCCAGACGCTCTTGCAATCCATTCCCATCTGTCTCCCCAGATTTTTGCCAGTGCATATTGGCAAAGTGATAATTTTCTGAAACATGAACCTTTTCCTCCATAGTTTGAGTTGATAACTGGTTCCCATGGCCATGCTGAGATAGGACTCTGTTTTTTGTTCTGGAGGCAGGGAAGGGGGCGGGGGTGGACATGAGGGGAACAGGCCTCACTTCACAGGGGAAAGTGATCACAGGTTCTTGCAGCAGTCAGAGAGGATCAGGGGCTGAGTAGGTTTGTGAAGTCCTAATAGATGGCCATTGCAAAGGCCAGGGGTCTCAGTCTTTTCTGGACGATGCTCTGACTTTCATTCAAGGAATAAGAAAGCAGTCATTCAGCTCACCAATCCACACACTGATAGAATCAGAATGATCTTGGTTCAGGGATATCTCAGTCCTGGGGCTGCAAAAGAGGGGAAATACTTTATGTTCAGTCAGAGAGTCCTGGGAGCTCAGGGGTTTGAGTCTGTTGTCCTCCATCTTTAGTCTGGCTGGGGCAGTTAGGAATGACAGTCACCCCACAGTGCGTGAGCTCTTCATGCCTTCCCCTCAGTTTTCATAGCAAGGTCACCTTCTCCCCCAAAGCCCCTGGTAGACTTAGACACAGCTGATTGAATTAGGGGTTCACCATACATGCAGTGAGGTGCTGCAGTTTTGTAACTTAATGCCCAATATATTTTCACTGCCTTTGGCCTAAAATTGCTGGATTAACCAATCCTAGCACTTCTCCCCCTGCTCCTTTCTTTAAGGGTCTGTTATCTATAATCACTCTAGTAACAGTTTCTTTATTAGTGAAGGCTCTTGGTGGCAAGACAAAAATGAACTCCAGTTAAGTGGAAAAAGAAAAGGAACTATCCTGTCAAGGTGTGGGTAACTTCCAGGATCCAGCTTGGGCAGGGATCAGGAGAGGCGGGGCACGGTCAGTCCTGCTCAACAGGCCGACTGCTGAGATGCCTCTGGCGGGGCTATGTCCAGACACTCAGTTCTGCCGCTCCACTCTGAGTGTCTCCACCTCCCCCTTGCAGGCAGTTAGGTCTGTTGTCAGGATCCACTGTCCTGCCTGGAGCTGAGCCCAGGCTGCCCTCTGGAGGGTGGGGACAGAGGAAATCTGCCCCCTTTCTGTTTCCAAGATGGAAGGGTCCCAGTTTCTCAATTGTCCTAAGAGCCCCTCCTACCCGAGTCAGGACTGCTGTTCAGATGCTGGGCAGGAGAGCAGTAAATGCCCCCATGAAGTTAAGTAGAAGTCCCACCAGGTCTCAACCTACCAACCTTGGTGGTGAGGGGTGTGTACCCCAGTTCCTAGGGGCATTTGCTAGGGAGTCACCCACATGTTTCAGCTCTTCTGGGCAAAGGTCACAATAGGCACCTGAAGCCACAGAGACTCTACCCCATGAGAGATCATGAGAAGGCTGTCCCCTGAGTCCTAAAGAGGCTGGTCCCTTGGGATGACAGAGAGGGAAGTGGGCAGCTCTGGGAATCGGCTGCCTGCCAAGAGACCCTCAGTACCAACCCAGGGCTGCCACTTTCCCACCACCCAGGACTCTGCCATCCTCGGCCACGGTGCTGCTCAGGGGCCTGGTGCTTCCTTTCTGCCCTGGGCCGTCTCTCCCACACTGCTCTTTACAAGCCTCAGATATGGCCGGAGGCCAGAGGCCACCTGGGCTTTTGTTCCGGAGCCTCCTTCCGCTCCCTCTGCCAGCTCAGGGAACATCCCTGACCTCACCAGCTCCTCTCCATCCAGCTGTTCAAAATATACTTCCCAAACACCTCCATATTCTGAGTCCTGCCATCTCCCTCTGAGATGAAGGCTCTGAGAGGCAGGGCTTGGGTTTGGAGCATAGTGTCCTGGGAAATGCCAGCCAAACCTGAGAATGAGTTCACCTGCAGAAGCAAAACCTTGGCCAGGTCAGTGTCTCACATGATCCCCTTGTCCAGGGGACCTTAGTTGGCCAACCAGGGTTGTCAGTTCTAGAGACATGCATTCCCACAACCTTCACTGCAAGCTTGGGCCAAGCTCAGCTCAGCTCTCTGGACTCTGGAGGCCTCGTCTCCCCACGTCTGGGTGCCTGTTCTCCCCTTGGCCACCAGCCAGTCACAGCAGTCCTTTCAGGACCAGCCTGAGACTGCAGCCACTCTTTATAACATCAGGGAGGTACTTTTGGTACGGTCAGGGCTTCCGGGCCCCAAATGTTTTGTCGGCTTCTCCTACCAGATAGAACTGGGCAGTGTCCCAGTGTCCTGAGAAGTGCTCGTCTTTCGGAAGTCCTTTCATGGTTTTCTCATCTCTGAAATAGGCAATCTCCTCCTTGCCAGTTGTAATACTGTGAGGTTCATTGGCTGCTCCGAGACCCTCCTGGGTAACCAATGTGAGCTGTCTTAGGAGTGAGGGTGGCACTGCCTGTGAGGCATCACTGCCTCTCATCTGTTGATTCATGTGCCACATTCAAGGAGTAGGGCCCTGCCAAGGGTGCCACCACACCACACCAGCTGCCACACCTTGTCACCTCCTCCAGGAAGTCTTCCTTGATGCTTCCTTCTCTGTGTCACCTTTGCAGCTCAGCTTCCTTCAGTCTTAGCAGCATACTGAATTATAATTGTCTCTCACTTCTCCATGCACATGTTCATTTAAATATAATTTTACTAAGGATCAACTTACTCTATATTTCTATTTTGTACTGTCCTTAGAAGATTCCATGGCTACACAATATGATTTCCTTTTTTTCTCTAAGTTCCCAGCTTTTCTGTTTATTCTCATATATGACATGCCACAGACAATGACAAAAAAACAAGCCATTTCTTGCCCCATGTACAACAGTGCTTCCAAGTAGGTAGTAATTAATGGATATATTAATTCAAAACTCACCACTCTTGATACTGGGAGGTAGACTCATGAGTGTTCATTTTATTATTATTTCATAGCATATATAAATATATTTTTGCTTTTGTGTATCATATATTGCACGTGTGCATGCCCAGTTGCTCAGTTGTGTCCAACGCTTTGTGACCCCATAGATTGTAGCCCGCCAGGCTCCTCTGTCCATGCAATTTTCCAGGCAAGAATACTGGAGTGGATTGCTATTCCCTACCCCAGGGGATCTTCCCTGACCCAGGGATTGAACCCGTGTCTCTGGAGTCTCCTGCATTGGCAGGAGGATTCTTTACCACTCTGCCACCTGTGAAGCCTGTACCACATATTGCATAATTTAAAAATCGACCAGTTAGTAAATCAATCAGTGCAAACAGGAAATAGGAAAAAAAAATAGAGAAATCCTCTTCTTGTTCTTAATGAACTGTTGTCCATGGAGGATCCAGCATGGGCTGGGGGAGGAGAATGAGAGAAGGACCCCTTCCTCAGTTATCACCCATGGGCTGCAACTGAGCCCTGGATCTCCTGCCTGTCTAGATACCTGAGCACTGCAGGTAGGAGGGTGACATCCAGGACTGGATGGAGCCGTGCTTAGTGGCATCTGATTAAGTAAATGACAGGGACATTATTTTGCAGCATGAGTGACAGGTGAACGGACTGCTTCCTTCATGGCTCAGGCTGATGCAGCCAGGGCCCTGTGTGCCTGATATCCGAGGCTGCAGCTTCCAGCAAAGCTGCACATCAGAATCACCAGCCACACAAACTGAGTGGGTCAGAATCCAGACCCGGGGCCCAGCCCCAATTCCTGAGTTTGCAGATGATGCCAGGGCATGGCTAAGCTCAGAAGCACTGCTCTACAGACCCTGGCACTGCCTGCACTCCCCACTAGGACAGGGCCATTCTCAGGGATTCTCTGGACTGAAGGGAGCCAAGGCCAGACCGCAGGCTTCCCTGTGACCTTCACACCGCCCTAATGTACCTGAGGGGGGCATATGCTCCCCTGTGGACTGGGTATGACCAAGGCTGACTCCCAGCAGTTTTCTGCTGTGGATCCCCCCCTCCCCAGGCAGCCCAAGTTCTATGGGTGTTCGCATGTACCTTGTGCACCAAACGGGCAGTGTGTCCCTCCTGGAAGCTTTTTGCCATGAGGTGAGGAATTCCTGAGCCTAAGAAGAGACCTTGGAGCAGGGCCTGGGCTGGGAAGATGTACTGTGTGGTGCTGCCCCTCCTCCTGGGCCCCTGGCATTGGTGGTGGCCCTGGGGGCCGGGGCAGCATGGACCAGCTCTCCCATGGGGCTCAGGCACGTTCATGTGAAACTCTTCCACTTCTAGGGATGTAGTGAAAGTCAAATGATAATAAAAGCATGGAAAAACCTGCAATCACCCAGCATAGATCAAGCTCTCAACCATTCTTACTCACCTCCTGTGCTTTTCCTTGCCCACCTCTGTTTCTCTCCTCAAAACGAATATTTTTCCTTGTAACCAGTGGAGCTGAATGGAAGCCCATCTCCTGATACACGGTCACATGGGGTTGCTGCTCAGGTGGATGCTACACCAGCCTGCAGCTCCTGACACAGGTACAAGTTGCATTTTCACAGAAGAGCTCGGACCCTATGCCCAGAATAGTTGGTGAAGCCAGTCCTTGGAGAAGCCCAAGTCCTGGAAAGGGGTGTGAATATTGAGCCTTGTGTGAAAGTGGTAAACAACTAAATGGAGGTTTTCTGCATTCAGTGGAGTCATGAAGGAATCCTTGCCTCGGAATACCACTTAGTGAGAGAGGAGGGGGCTGTGGGGACACACCCCAACCAGATGGGTTTCCAGAGAATTCTTGAGAGTGGCCAGAATGCTGCATGGTTGCATTTATCTAAAATGCCAGACCATACTCCTGAGTCTCTAGTGACAGAAAGCAGAGTGTGGGACAGGTGGGGACTGGAGAGTGGGATGGCGGAGGGACCTCAGCTGGTGGGGACGTGAGACATCCGTTGTCTTCTCTGGTGATAGTTTCCCGTTGTCTTCTCTGGTGATAGTTTCATGGCATATACCACTACAACGTCAGAAACCCTCAAGTCCTACCCCCAATGTGGACAGTTTACCTCGATAGAGCCAGGGTCTCTCTCTGGCGAAACAGGACTGAAATCTCTTAGTTAGAGCATCTCAAGGCACTCCTCCCTGCTTAAAAATGATCCCCTTCCTCTCTTCACCCCCTTCCTGAGGTGCCATTGGCACAGACTTCAGTGGTTTGGGGGCAGCGACGGTCAGTGAGATGGAGGCCTCGACTGGGATAGAGTTGGGGGATTCTGGTTTTGGCAGTGGAGGTGTCCTTAGATCAAGGGTGCATTGGCTGGGTGTGTCATTTCTGGCTTGTCCTGTAAAAGGTGTAGGGCTTGGGGTGCTTGGTCATCTAGTGCCTCCACCCCGCGAGTCAGGCACTGGGCTCCTGGGAGTGTGGAGTACCTCCCTGCAGCTGTGTGAGGTGATGTTGGTAAGGACTTGCTGCTGGAGTTGGCTTGTAGGTGAGTTTGGAGAGGTTTAAGGAAGCAGGGATGCTGTAAGGAAGCATAAAGAATTCTGTGATTGAGTAACTCAGTAAATCTCACCCAGGGGGAGGTATGACTGGTTTGAGGCTAAACCTGGGATTGATGAGGCAGCAGACATCACCCAGAATAGCCAGCTGTTTGCGCTCCATGACCTGGAGTGTGTTCCGTCTGTGCCCAGGTGTGAACACGGAGGGGCTTTGTCACGACCCCGGGGTGCCTTGCCTGGTGCTGTTGCTTCATGACGTTGTTCACATTCTGCAGAAGGATGCTGGGCTCCACCGTGGCTCCGGGGGGGCTTCTGTGTGTCATGGTCACTGTTGTCCTTCTTGCTTACTGGAAGTGAGCTGGGTGGATTTCCAACCCCCGAGAGCTTTATTACAGATGCTTGTCAAGGCCCTTCCTGGTCCCAGTGACCCAACTCTCCTGAGGGTGCCCAGGAGGCATTTGGGGAAAGCCTTGGGGTGATTCTGTGCTTCTGCTGTGGACCATGGCACAGAACCCGGCTTGTATTCTTGACTTGAGACCAGCAGAACAGGTGCTCTGAGCCCCTCAGCCCCACCCAGCCAGCTCCAGCCTCTCGAAGCAAGTCCGCCCCTCCCACCCAGGACACGGGCCTTCCCAGCACGGCCGCTGTCTGCGTGCTCCTCCATGTGGACCAGGGGGCAGCTAGTGACACTGCCTCTGTCCCAGAGCATCTGCTTCTCACTTGGTGTCTGAGTTCCTCAACTGGGAAAAGCCAGAAGGAGATACGAGAGACCTTGTAAGACAGGAGTTTTCTATCATCACAGTAGACTTGGGGGCACCCCAAATCCTGACTGTGAACAGGCTGATGACTGTGGTTCAGTCATCCTAATTCTATTTCCCTGTAAAATGAGGGTAACAATCTGTCAGATCACGAGAGTCTGTAAGCTCACATTTGTAAAATGCGAGGCCTGTGTACCTTGAATGTAGAAGACTCACGCCCCTCAGAGATCCTGACTGTGAACAGGGTGATGACTGTGGTTCAGTCATCCAAATTCTATTTCCCTGTAAAATGAGGGTAACAATCTGTCAGATCACGAGAGTCTGTAAGCTCACATTTGTAAAATGCGAGGCCTGTGTACCTTGAATGTAGAAGACTCACGCCCCTCAGAGGACTAGATGCCAAGGTGGGAGCATGTTTGGTATTCGGTGCCCTTCTGAGGCTGCCTCAGTCTCTCCTCTCTGTGAGTTCTGGAGTTTATAAAATTCCAGGAGAGGATTCATCAGGGAAAACATTGGCTTAGAAAAGACACAGCCTCCACCCTGAGGGTGGTGAGTAAGACACAGAGGGTGGCGGGACAGGTGGGGGCGGCCTGTGCGGCCCCACCCTGTGCCCGCAGCCTGCTGCCCAGCTCCACCTCCCCTCCTGATCGTCCCAGGGACCATGCAGCCCTCCCCCTCCCCACAGGCCCTCCCCCGGCCTCAGTCTCGGGAACAGGACCGGAACTGAGCCCCTGGATAGGGCCGGTGTGGCTGGTCACTTCTGGCTGAAGCCGACTGGCCAAGTGGACCCCCCAGCTGTGCAAAAGACCTTGTGGGAGCAGGGACTCCTCGGTGCAACGGGGAAGGAGGCTGGACACAGGGCACTGGCGGTCGGCTGGAAGGAGCACCGAGGGCTCAGTGTCCGGGCAGGAGAAGGGCTGAATCTGCAGGTTGATGGAGTTTGCATGAGACAGGAGCTTTCTCCAGGTCACGTGTGCAGCCCTTACCCCCACCCTGTCTCAGGACCACCCTCTGAAGCAGCTGGAAGCAGGCTTAGATCCAATCTGAAGGGCCCCAGGCTCTGGCCCACTGTTCTGATTTGATCCCAGAAGTGCACCTTATTCATTCCAACTACAGCATTTGCCAAGTCCTTTTTCACCCCAGGCCCTCTGCTGGGGAGACTAAGCCATGAGTGAGACAGAGTCTGGCCATCCAAGCACCTCCAGGAGGTGGTTCTAAATTCTCCTGAGCACCAGGTCAGTAGCTGAAACCTGGGTATGAGGAAGTGGGTGGGTTATGTGTGTTGTTGGGACAGAGTCAGACACTGCACATGGGAGATGTGCCACAGTGAGGCTGTGGGGAGGGCCTGGAAGGGTCAGGGTGCTTGGGCGATCAGGTGCCAGGATGGAGGGCGCTGAGCCCTGAGGGGGGTTGCAGTGCCCGAGGGACCTGGCCAGGGACGCTGCCTGGAGGACGGTGGGCCTTGCCTCCAAGAGGCTGAGCAGGTACCCTGGACCTCTGATCCGCCACCCCAGCCAATGCAAGCTTGGAAAGTTTTTGCCAAGGCACAGGGGTGAGAAAGGAAAGGCAGGCCTGCCAAGTGAGGAGGTGCTGCCTGCCTGTGTGTGCCGCAGGCCAGGTGCCAGCCCTCCACGAGGCGGGGGAGGAGAGGGCTGCTGCGAGGCCTCGCCTGCTACCTGCACCTCTGCCTCCTTGTCCGTAGCCCTGGTGTTTATTTCTGTCTAAAACAGGTCCAGTGCTGGCCCATGGAGGGGCCCCTGAAGAGGGTGCTGGGATCTGGGGAAGCTCTGGCTTGTCACAGGGGCCTTGGAGAAGACACCCTGTATTCACCCTGTGCCACAGAGAAACATGGGTATGTGCCAGTTCTCTGGGCGCTGTTTGCAGAGTCTTCCCCTTTGCTGGTCACAGAGACACCTCTGACCAGGGCCCCATCTCCAAGCAATAAGGTGGAGGTTCAGCAGCCACACCGCTCACGGGGTCACTCCAAAGGACTGGCCGGGCCACCTTCTTGCCAAGGACCCTGAGGGAGGCTCACCTCAACCTCTCTCTTGAGATGTACTGCAGCAAGTCACCTTTCCTGGAACTTAAGACGCACTTCTCAGAAAGCAGCTTGATTCTTCTAAAATCAACATGCATTTATAATTGATGTGTACATTTAAGAATGATTTCCTCTTCCTCTCGGAAGCTGTCATCGACTTTGTGGCCTCTCAGTTGTAAGTCTCCCACGTGAGCAGGACACACAGTGCGTGCCTCTCCGGGGGCCCCAGCCCCGCCCAGTCCAGGAGGCGGAGGCCTTCCGGGAGAGACCTGCACTCCCCGGGCATCCTCAGAGGGACACCTTTCCCAGCATTCCCGGAGAGGCTCCCACCGGGCCCAGGGCCTGCTCCACGTCTTCCCAGCAGTGAGTGTGACCACCATGATTTTGCGCCTGATGGACAGAGCAGCGGCCACCTTCTGGCTGAGCTTCCCCTGTGTCCCTCTGTTTGCAGGCAGTCACCTCTCAAGGTACCTCAAGGGAGCAGGCACTGCCGGTGACCCATGTGTGTCTGCCGGAGAGCTGCCGACACAGCCAGTCATCACATTCAAGGACTGTTTCTCTGAGAGCTGGTTCTATTCTCCTCCAATGAGGCTGGTTCCAAGACCCACCCCCAGCTTGCCTGTGGCCCCCGACCAGCACTAAATGGCTGCTGATTGGATTCCCAACTCCAGATCCTCCAAATTGGCCACGTTCTTCTCTCCCTCTGGTTCAGCTGCATGTAGCCTAACACAGTAGAACGTACAGTACAGCACGTGGCCAGTGGGCAGGGGAACAGACTGTAGGGGTGGCAGAGCCTCTAGGAGGGGTGCAGCAGGCAGGCAAGTGGCCCTCCTAACAGCGGCCTCATTTGTAGATGACTCAACTCGGGTGATAAGCTGTTGGTCCTTTAATGGACCGGAACCTGGTGGTCCGGAGTCGACGATAAGAAAGAGAAAGAGGCTGATAGCGCTTGTTGGTCCTTTAATGGACTGGAACCTGGTGGTTCCGAGAGTAAGAGAGAGAAAGAGGCTGATATCCCCTAGTTTACGCGGAAAGCCAATAGAGTCCTATTCTCCGGGCTCGCGCTGCTGCACGTGGGCACCAGGCGCCCTCTCGAGTGGGTGAAGGCACAGTGCGCCTTCTCGAGAGGGTCTTAGAAGCTGGGGCAAGGAAGTGAGCTCAGCGGGCCTCAGCGCTCCAAGGAATTAGCCAGAAATAGAGAGAAAAAGAGAGAAGAAATAGAAAGAAAGAAAGAAAGACACGGGGACCAAAGCTCTGATGGAGCAAAGGTGCTTTAATCAGCGTGGCGTGGGCGTATATACTGTCTTACAAGGTGGTTATTCTCAGCAGAGACAAAGATTAAAATTCCAGACTTACAAAACATAAGATGATCCCTGTCAAAGAGAGAGAGTTGCAAACAATCACCTTTTACCATTTGGCTCATAAAAAGGAAGAGGGTACTTATCACTGTAATTAGAAATGCCTGGATTCCTCAGCCCCGGGAAGGGAAAGGCGTGCCTCTCCTCTTAATTCCTGAATATTCAGGAATCAATAGGGCCGGAGGGTTCCTGACAGATCCAAAACAGCACACAGGAAGCCTCTGGTTAAATGCTTCCTGACAATAAGCAGAGGAGTGAAGGCAGAACATAACCCAACATTGACGCCCCCATTTTTCTGCCACACTGGGAAGCCTCCAGCAATGTAGGCTTTCCAGTGAGACCCTGTGTGATGATGTTCTGGGCTACCAGGGCCTCTGCCGTGCATGTGCTTCTGTGTCCAATGGAGAAACCCCCTCCCTGCACAGGCATGCTGTGCTCCAGGCCCAGCGTGAGTCTCGGAGCAGCCTAGGACCCCCATGTGCAGACCCGCCTGGGGCTGCCACACCCACACCCCACTGTGAGAGGTTCCCTCCGTCCCTCTGAGTAGGTCTGTCTCTGAAACTGGAGCAATAACCTGCTGAAGCCCCTGTGCAGGGCTGCAGAGAGGGCAGGAGGAAGTGAGCTTCTCCAGCTGTGTGCAATCTGTAGAGACTGTGGATGTGCAGGTATGTTTGCACATGGAGAAGGCTGGGTACTGACTGAAGCTGGAATGGAACCAATCTCCCTGCTTTTCTCCTGTCTGGTGGCCTTGGGTGAGGCAGGGTAGGGGGAGGCATGACCACAGACATGCAGGTCAAAAAGGACATGAGTTAGGACTCATCTGTAGATGGTGACAGGCATCACCCTGGTGGGCAGGCTGAGCCGGTCCCTGTCTCTTCACTCCAGTGTTGAAGGAGAGCCTGTGAAGACCCCTGGGCCAGCCCTGGCTGGCGTTAGTAAACTGTGTGGTGGTGTTTCTCAGGCAGTTATGTCTTCTCAGGGAAAGGAAGGCTACGCTCTTCCCCAGAAGAGACACAGCCAGGAACCATGGGCGGGAATGTACTTCAGCTGGGACCTAGGAGCAGCAGTTCCTTTGTCTCCAGGAGGCTTGCTCTGCGGCAGGTGAGGAAGGCCAACCCCACACACCTCCTAGGAAGGAACTGCTGCCAGGCCTTGGGTGGGTGGGCTCACTGCCTCGAAAGAATGAGGCAGGGCAGGCGGGGGCCTGCAGGGAAGCCTCAGGGCAGCAGGTCAGAGACTGGCTCAGGGTGCTCACATGAAGAGACGCAGTCGCATCACCACCGTGAACACACAGCCACTGTAACGTCCCAACTACTGCCATTACCGGATCATCTGTGACCCGGAGAACCCACCCTCCCTCTCTGGAGATCCAGTGAGGCTCACACGAGACACCACTAGGTACCAGAGTTGGGGAGTCAGAAAGACCTTTCCAAACTCAAACACCACCACTTAGCAGCCTGACAAGCAGCTGTTCTGCGCTTCAGTAAGGGAATCTGCAGAGAAAAATAAGAACACCAGCGACATTTTAGGAGGAAACACTGTATATGAGGTACATGGAGAAGATCTCATGCGTCTCTGCCATCACATGTTATTTTTATCATGTTGTTTATTAGTTGCTCAGTCGTCTCCGACTCTTTCTGCGACCCCGTGGACTGTAGCCCGCCAGGCTTCCCTGTCCATGGGATTTCCCAGGCGAGAACACTGGAGTGGGCTGCCATTTCCTTCTCCAGGGGATCTTCCTGACCCGGGGGTTGAATATGTGTCTCCTGTGTTGGTAGGTGGGTTCTTTACCACCGAGCCACCTGGGAAGCCCTGTTTTTATAACAGGGAAGACAAACAACAGGAGAGACAGTTTTCACTCGGGTGTACTGTGCAGCTGCCCTCTGGCAGGCTCAGTGCTGGGGCTGGAGTCCTAGAGGGGCTGGCATGCTCCCCTGGGGGAGCCTGGAGTCTAGCAGGGGAGACAGGTAGGCCCATGACAGCAACAAGGACAACAGCAGCTTCACCTCCACAGCTAGGGATTTGACAGGGAGTGGTGGGTGCTGGAGAACCCAGGAGAGGAAGCACTCAGAGAGGCCTGAGGAGCCAGCTGGGTAGGAGGCACTAGCGTGAGGCCCATGCACCCATCTGGATTCCTGATGCCCAGGGAAAACTGAGGAGTGAGCAGGGGAACCTGTGGAGGAGGTGGAACAATGTGCCTGAAGGCAAAGCATCAACGCTGGGGACATCTTAGGAGACGCCCAGGTGTAAGGAGGGACTGGGATAAGTGAGGACGCAGAGCAGGGCCAGGGTGGGCTGAGCCTGGGCGTTCGTATGGGCAGTGGAGAGCCCGGGCGTGACACTAGTTGTGGATGTGCCGAGACCTGAGGCAAGGACTGGGGGGTGCAGGAGCCCACCCCTTCTCAGGGCAGGATGTCCTTGTCCTGCTCAGAGCCCAGGAGCAGGACGGAAGAGGGCTTAGTGGGGAAAGGGTAGAGCCACCACAGCCAGCAGGACAGTGTTAGAAGATTCTTTGCTCTCCTGGGCCCAGAGCAAGCTCCTCTCCCCTACGGATCCTGGGCCTGCCACCTGTACAGGGCAAGAAGTCTCTCAGGTTTCAGAGAAGAAGCTGTCTCCTTCTGGCAGTCTGACACACCCGGGTCAGGAAGCTTCCATTATGGTTCACCTGGCGAGAGCCCACGAGTCTGGTCCCTTGGATTTCCTGGCTTGGCGTTTTCTACTAGATACCTCTGCACGGCATCACAAGGGACCCCCTGGCTCCCCCACACCCATCCTAAGGACCAGGCTTGGGTCTTCTGGAGGGAATCCCACACAGTAGCCCACACTCTGATGTTAACAGGCATATGGGTGATAATGAGCCTGTGATGGCAGAAAATTCAGAACAGATGTGAGAGGGAAGAGGGTTGAGCCACCCAATTACTCATGATGTAATTGGGTGGCTTCAGACATAGCACTTGACCTAATCCTATCTTTTCATCTGTGAAACACTGCCTACTTCACAAGCTTATTGTTTGGACTTAGCTATAAGGTGAAATTTGAAGGAGGCATGTAATGCTGACACTTTTCCTTTCCAACCTTCATCACATGACAGACTACAAAGCACAGAGGTCAGCTTTGACTCAGCTCTTTCACTGGACACCGTGAGAAAATCATGGTCCAGGGTGGAGCTGCTAAGACATGTGTGGGCTGAACCAGGTGTCTGTGAGCATCAACTTTCAGGCTGGCAGCTTCTCTCTTCTTCTTGAACTGTCTTGGGTCTCCACGGCACATTCTGCCTCTCTACAGTGTGAGCGGGGCAGAACTTGAGGAGTGGGCATGTCAGGAGCACCTTCATTTTGGTCCTCTGTTGTGTACAGGCTACGTGAACCCTGGCAACATCCCTGCCACCGTGGGAATACAGTGTGGGTCAGGTGAATTGAGGGCACAGTCATAATAAAATACGATGAAGTCAGCCTTGAAAAATGGAAAGGCTGGTGCCAGAACATCTGAATCCTAGTCCCAGCTTTGCTGTTACCTTTTTGTGTGATTCTGGGCAAGTCACTAAACCTGTGGGACAAGAGGTCTCCGTTCTCTCACCTGTCAAATGCAAACATCCTCTCTCCTGCTCACCTCATGGGTTTTTGTGATGATGCAAGTGATGATGCAAGTGGGAATTGCTTGGAAAAAAAATATATCCAATACAAGAGAAATTATTTTAGAAATTATGGGGTATCCAAACAAAATGGTAATAAAATTATGTCATAAAATAATACTTAGGGCTGCCCCCTCAGGATTCCTCTAATCATGCCAGCAGGAAGGGCACCTCCCCTCCCGTCACACAGGCGGCGGCTTCTATACCCTGGGCGAGCCTGCACACCTGCCTGCACCTGCACCTACACCTATAGGGCCACCAGCTGCTTACCTGTAGTTGTGGACTGTTGTGTAAAGAGAAGGACTGACCATGTTTACTGAGGAGAAAGGGTGAAAAGAGTGGTTAAATGTACAGGAGAGGTGCAGGGGTTTTCTGAGTGAGAATTGTGAAGATCAGGGTGTCACTGCAGGAACTGCAGGCTCTCATGCCAGAGCCTGACATGAGAGGGTGCCTTTATTTTTATTTTTTAATTGAAGGTGGGCATGAAGGGCTGCAGCAAGGCTGCTAAGGCAAGTGCATTTATGGGTAGGCTGGAAATAGCGGGTCTTATCTGATGACCTCTTTTCTCAGGAAGAAGGCAAAACCTTTCCCCTGGTGATGCAGTGTGGGTATATGATGCCTCCTGCAGGGAGACGTGTGGTTGAATGCTCTCTGAAGTTCATTGCAGATAATAGTGCTCCAAGGTTTGGTTCTGGACTCAGCATGTGTCTGTAACCACCTGTGTTCCTCCCCACTGACAGTGTGAAAATCTGCTCTTTGGGCTTTCCTGTCCTTTAACATGCTTCCCTCAGCCAGAGGAGTGTATGGCTCCTATATGTGATTTTGTAATAAAGCTTTAATTTTGGAATAGATCTAGCTTCCCAGCTTTCTGGGTGGGTCAGTGGTAAAGTATGTGTCTGCCAAACAGGAGACTCGGGTACAATCCC